AGATTAGTTAACAGATTCAGCAGAGATTTTTACAGATTAAAAAAGCAATTGCACCCATGTCTTCTGTGTGGTTGGTAGGTGCTTCTGACCTGTAAATTATTGTACAAGAGAGGATCCTCACGGCTGTTGTGCTCTGTTCCTGCTATTTTGTTTGTTTGCTTGCCTGTCCGTTGCTAAAGAGGAAGACATGCACGTCATGTCTCAAGAATTCACATTGAATTACATCTGCGGTGTCAAGAAATATGGAGAACACTCTGTATTTGAGACTGCAGCTGAGTCATGAGACCCACACTGAGTGCCGCATGGTCAGAGTTCTCCCCAAAACTTGAGATGCTTCTTTAGGAAAAGATGTACTTTAAATTCAGGAGTTTATGTACTTCTAGCACTTAAGGAATAAGGCAGAAGTTTTGAGTGCACTAATAGGGAACATCAACTTATTTCAGTCTAATCCTACCCAAAATACCTAGATCCTTTCATGTACAGGGGTCAAAGTGACTTTTGTTTATCTGACAGCGGTATCTCATTCACTTATGAACTTTTGTATTATTATTATACCTTTTTGACACTGGTAATTTTTTTTTTCAGTCCAGCTGATTATTGCACTCTCCACTTCCATCTGTTAGCACTTGGCCTGTACTCAAGCGGGATAGCACTGCTAACACTGCTAGCATTTTCAAGACCTTTCAGATGGCTAATTTTGGTGTCAATGCAGAATGCTATCCCTGAAGTGCTACATTGCAGCTTATCTCCAACAATGACCCATTATTTCTTATATTAAGAACTGGAAGTGACAGTGAGGTCACAAACTCATCTTCATGGTAGATATTTCATAGCGCTTTTTTTTTAAGGCTGATAGTCCAACAGTGTTGTTTTTCAGCTATTTCAGCTATTCATAATAATGGAGAATATATGAAAATGTAACAATATAATGCAGTTTCTTGCCAGCTGCTCAGTGCTTCTATAAATAACAATGCAAACAGCAGATTTTTAATAGTTACTTTTACAATTAACAGTTGTTCTGGAAGTCACCTTGATTTTACTGACCGCTCTTGAAACAGCGTGACGTATCCAAGGCAGAATGCCAGCGCAATTCAGGCTCATTTTATGCAGAAGAGTTGGTTACAACCCAGCGTCACTACTTCTAATTACCTCAGTCCAACTCTTCAGAAGTTTGGTTCACTTCATTGGTTCTCTTGGAAGCCACTGGATCCTTTTTTTTTTTTTCCTTTGTTTTGCTTTCAGTTGTAGTATAGTTAACTATGGATCTCTGCTGTTGGAAATTCCTGACAGAAAAACAATTGAATGCCACTTCCACTACTGTTATTATTTTTCAGTGTGTTTCTCTCATTTTCTTTTCCCCATCCTTTGTTATCATTACCTCAGAGCATTTTCCCAACCAATACACAAGTTTTTTCCTGTTCAATTAAATATTCCCACAAAGTATTCAGTTCATATTGGAGATTCTTCATTCCACAGTGCTTCCAAGACCTGAAGTATATTTGCCTGGTACTCTTTATCAGTGACTTCAGTGAATGTACTTTTTAAATGATAATAATAATCCAATTTATATAATTCACTAGAGGCCAAAGTCTAACTGAGTCTTATGCAAGTGCATCAAACAGTTGCATGTTTTTTTCCAACAGTCTCTAGAGAAGCAAAGAATCGGTCTGGTCTTTTCTAACTTCCCTCTGAAGCACAATGACTTGAAAATATAGTCCATAACATAGGCAGTCATACATGGTTAAGGATGTTCTTGCTTTGCAATTTGCTTAGTAAAAAATCAGCCTTAGCTATTACGCCAGTAAAATCTTTGATATTGTGAAATATAACTGTCACAGAAAAAGTGAATACCTTACAAATATCTTCCCTGCTTTATAAGTGGGATTTTGTCAGAATAGTATCATTTGTGAATATATGCGAATATATTCACAATTAATTCAATAATTCATTGTCTTGCTTCTCTGCAAGTACCACACTGAAATTTAGTACTGTATATGTTATGAGCTCACCATCTATTTCGTAGAGGGAGAAAAGCCCTTGGGAGAGCTTTACACTTCATTTTAATCTAAGAAAAGCTTTCCAAATGTTCTGCACCTCCAGGACTGCCTGCTAACGTATGGGAGGAGCCGTTCTCTTAGACTTCAAAATGCTCCAGAATGAGTCAACTGTGCAGCTGGGAAAAACATATTAGGTATAATATAGGGTATAATGAGAACAGAGAGCGAAAAGGTTTGGGTGGTTACCATCTGCAGGGTATTTCAAGCCGATTCTGTTGTTTTACAGGGGAATGTGGCCTCTCGCTTGTTTTAGTATCTATCTGACCTTTTCCCTTTCCTCTCCTCCTTTAATAATTTGCTGTGTAGCATGAGATGGCAGAAATTTTTACCGCTGCAAGGTCAGAGAATGATGCATGGACCTCTGACCATTAGGTAGACTTTGTTTCTGATGGGAGACACGATCCAGGCAATAACCACTAGTTTTCCCTCTTACACCACGTCTATAGGACTCATCTGAAAGATTATGACGGCTCCAGACCTACTTAATTGTTGATGGAAATGTATCTAATTTAATAATTTAAGCTTTCTAAGGTGCTCCCCACAGCACACAAGAAACAGAATCAATATCCATAATGTATGACCATTATATATTCATATATTCATTTCAAGATGAGATAGCTATGTGTTGGGTACCTTAAGTAATACTTAAACATGTAACTGTATTTCCTAAGATATCGATGTGGGAAAGAAAAGTTAAGAAGAATTTTGTGTGTGCCTGAAGAGGAAAAAAAAAAAAGAAGTAGTGACTCATGCTCTCCTTTGATCAAAACACACATCCTTTGAGGTACGGTATACAAACACGGTAATTTGTAACATATTGGGGCAAAATGTCGCACACCCCTTGTTTTTCTGGGGTGCTTGCCGCCGAAGAGCGGCTCGGAACCGGAGCAGGCAGCGCTACAAGTCACCGCCAGCGATGCCCCCCGCGCTTTAACGGGG